ACAGGGCACCACCTCTCAGAAGGCTCAAAAACCATGGAAGAATGGGCACAGCCCTGGCCAGCAGCAGGGCTGGCAGCCCATGTGTTTCCAGAGGTTACCTGGAAAAGGAAACCACCCTGGGTGCCAAATGTTGGAGGTTGTATGTGGGGGCTGAGCCCCATGTCTGGGACTGGCATTCCTGCTGCCTGCGGGGCTCAGGCTGCAAGCTCCCAGGTTGTTGGGCTTCCCTGTGCACTTGCTGGCTGGGGAGAACACCCCAAACCGGGGGGCAGCCCAGCCATCACTGCAGGAGGGTGCTGGAGCAAGAGGGCACTTCTCAGGCAGGACACCCCAGTTGGGGGTTCAGACTTCTCAGTGATTCCAGGTAAACACCATTCCCAGCTTGGTCCCCTATTATTGCCCTTTTCTGTGGCCCCATCCTGCTAACTCCCAGGCACCAGGTGGCATTCCAGACTTGACCCAGGCAAGCAGGAAGTGTGGAGGTGGGACCATGGCTCTTTGTCAGTGGGAAAACTGGAGACCAGAGCAAGTACCAAGGACTGAATCCATGGTGTGATGAGGAGCGGTGCCAGGTGTGGGAGACAGAGCTGGCTGCTGTCCATCAGCCCTATACCCCCCCTTCACAGAATCCAAGCCTGGTTTCAGTTGAAGTGACCTTAAAGCTCCTCCATCTCCAACCCCTGCCACGGGCAGGGACACCTTCCACTAGAGCAGCTTGCTCCAAGCCCCTGTGTCCAACCTGGCCTTGAACACTGCCAGGGATGGGGCAGCCACAGCTTCTCTGGGCACCCTGGGCCAGCGCCTCAGCACCCTCCCAGGGAAGAGCTTCTGCCTAAGAGCTCAGCTCAGTCTCCCCTCGGGCAGGTTAAAGCCATTCCCCTTGGCCTGTCCCTACACCCCTTGTCCCAAGCCCCTCTCCAGCTTTCCTGCAGCCCCTTCAGGCACTGGAGCTGCTCTCAGGTCTCCCCTTCAGGAGCCTTCTCTTCTCCAGGCTGCCCCAGCCCAGCTCTCTCAGCCTGGCTCCAGAGCAGAGCTGCTCCAGCCCTCGCAGCATCTCCGTGGCCTCCTCTGGCCTCGCTCCAACAGCTCAAGTCCCTCTTGTGCTGCTGTCCCAGAGCTGAATGCAGAACTCTCCTTGGCAGCACATCCCTGCTTGCCCTGTAGGTGGAGATGCTGAGGACTGTGGGAGGGTGACATAAAACCCACCACGGAATGACATCAGGGGCGGGGGGGGGCAACAGGAGATTCAGGGGTGCTGGTGGAGCCCTTTCTCCCACCCCTCCAGCCCCAGCACCTCCCCACTGCCCCTTGCAAGCTGAGCTGACAGGCCTTGGTGTCCTTTCCTCTCTCCCAGGTGTCAGCTTGTCACTGGAGGTGACAGCCAGCCTGGCAGTATGCCCCGGGTGTCACTGCTGCCCCGGCTGCTGGGGGGCCGGCCCGCTCTGAAGGCAGTAGCCATTGCAGTGGTGCTTGCAACTACCCTCTGGAGCCTGAGTTGCTTCCTCAGCCCTCCCCAGGCCTCCAGAGAAGCCCCTCAGCGCATGGAGCCACTGCTGGTCCTGGTTTGGGAATGGCCCACAAAGCAGGTCCCCAATGTCAGTGGGGATGTCTGCCGCGAGCTGTATGGCATCACAGGCTGCTGGCTCACCATGGAGCGCCAGCTCCTGCACTGGGCGGATGTTGTGGTGTTCCCCCACACCAGGCTGCAGCCCAGCAGGGACAGCCTGCCCAAGGACAGGCCACCGTGGCAGAGCTGGGTATGGGTGTCCCTGGAGTCCCCCTCCAACACTAAAGCTCTAGCGGGATGGAACCAGACCTTCAACTGGGTGATGACCTACAGACGGGACTCGGACATCTTCATCCCCTATGGCAAACTTGTGCCCAACCGGTCAGCCACTGTGAACATCCCTGCAAAGACCAATTTGGTGTCTTGGGTCATCAGCAACTACCACAGGACTCAGAAAAGAGCTGAAGTCTACAAGAACCTCTCCAGGTACCTCCAGGTGAACATATATGGGAAAGCAAACAAAAAGCCACTTTGCAAGGACTGCCTCTTGCCAACGACATCCAAGTCCAAGTTCTACCTTGCTTTCGAGAACTCCATCCACCAAGACTACATCACCGAGAAGCTCTGGAGGAACGCACTGATGGCTGGCACCGTGCCTGTGGTGCTCGGTCCCCCCCGGGCCAACTACGAGCAGTTTGTCCCTGCAGACTCCTTCATCCACGTGGATGACTTCAGCTCCCTGGAAGAGCTGGCCACCTTCCTGAAGACCATGAACTCCAGCCGCTACCGGCAGTTTTTTGCCTGGCAGAGGCGGTACAGTGTGAAGCTCTACACCGACTGGAGGGAGCGGATCTGCACCATCTGCAGCACCTACCCCAGCCTGCCCCGTGGCCGCATCTATCCTGACCTCGAGAGCTGGTTCAACACCTAGAGCTGGTGTGCTGGGACCATCGGGGCAGAGGATACAGGGGTGGGGTACAGAGGATACACGGAGCAGTCCTAGACCAGGACATGGGGCAGGGATGGATGTGGGAGTCTCCACCTCTCCTCCCAGCCTGGCTGTTGCCACACTGGGACCTTGAGCAACTACTTGTGACTTTATTTCCAGCAAAACTGAGCGACCCCCCCACCTGACCCAACACTGACCCACCTTGCCATGGTGCAGGAAGGATATGGTGCTTTGGAAATAAATGAGTGCTGCAAAGGCTCTGCTTGTGCTGTGGGGCAGGGACAGGGGTTGGGGGTGGGGGGTGTGGGGCTCCCAAGCCTTCCCCTGCCATTGCTCTGTGCCCTCCACAGTGAAGCTGCAGTGCCAGAGACCCTGTGGTGACATTCCTGGCTGGGCTGGAGGAGCCAAGGTCAGGTCAGCAGGGAGAACCCGGTACCCCATGGCTGGAGATAGGGAGCGCAGCCTCTGCTCCCCCACTTCCTGGCCCACCCCAGCACGTTTCCCCCCACAACCCCAACTGCCGAGCTGTGAGTGTCACCGTGCTGGTGAGGACCAGGACACCGGATGCTCTTGGGTGCAATCTCAGCTCGCTCAGTGCAGTCAGAGGGTTGCTGCGGTTTCTCACTCTCCTGCCCCGATGTTGCAGGAAGCCAGAGACACGGTGGAGGCTGGAGCCTAGCAGCAAGCTCAGAGCAAAGCCAGGCCTCCGGACAATGTGTGGCACCGGCAGCCTGATCCATGTGCCCTGAGCACTGCCATGGAAGGTCCTGCTCACCCTGCACTGCACACACCAGGCACCACACTACCAGCATGGTGCAGAGCTGGACCCGGCGCATACATTGTGGGCACCCTGGCCCATGCACACACCTTGCACCTGGGCACAGGCAATGCCAGGCACCCCAAGGGGACACCTGCACCTAGGATGAGTGGCAATGCTGGGGTTGGGCGACAGGACTAGGCAGTGAGACAACAGCTCCATCCATGCCTTGCTCCCGTGCCCCTCATCTTGGTGCCATCAACCCCTTGATACAAAAAATTCTTTTTTCAGTTCCTGCCCCTTTCCCTCCCTGCAGCCCTACATCACCTAACCCCACTGCTGCCACCCCTCAAGGTGCTGAGTGCCGCCAGGACCCACTCCCCATGCCCGGGGTGCAGCATACCCCCCCCAGATGCTGTACCTGCCCTGGGCTGGCACATCCCTGTGTGCCCAGCAGGTCAGTGGCCATGCTGTGCACTTCCAGTTTCTGAGGCTTCAAATTTCAGTTTGGTTTTGCCTTCTGGACACGTTGAAAATGCAGCAGGAAGGGTTCAGAGTGCCCAGGGGCAGGACACTGGGATTTGGGGTCCCCTGGTGGGGATCAGAGGTCCTGCCTGGCTGGCCTTATGCTGGAGGAGAAAACCAGATAGTGAAGATGTGGAGGAGCAAACCTCAAAGGTGACATCCTTCCCAGGCATGCTGCTACTGGCTATGCTGCAGCACCAGCACCAAAAGGCAGCAGTGGCCTGCGCCCCTGGGCACTGGGGAGCTAGTGGGGACACAGGGTGAGCCAAGGGGATCCCACCACGGGGCTGGCACCCAGCCTGGTGTGTGCACCTCAGCCTTCACAGGGTCCCCACTCCTGCCTGGGCCATGGCAGCAAGGCTGGGGTCAGACCCAGTGCAAACCCATTTACTGGCAGCCAAACACAGGAAGGGGCTTTTCCGAAGTTTCCTAGAATCATAGACTCAACCAGATTGGAAAAGACCTTTGGTACCATAAAGTCCAACTGCTCCCCAGTACTGCCAAGGCCACCATGTCACTGAGGGCCTCACCTACATGGTTTAACACTTCCAGGGCCCTGGGCAGGCTGTTCCAAAGCCAGTTTCCCTACAGGAGCAGAGCCTGGTGCCAAACCAGACTGCAGAGGCCATGGAAGTGAACAGCAAGGTGTCATCTCTCAGTTGCTCGATTTTCCTGGCTGGTCTGGCACCTCCAATCTCAAGCAGCTCAGCCCCTGATGCTCACCTGGACCTGCCTGGGCTGGCACCACTTTGGCACAGCCACCATGGTCACTGCATCACATGCACAGGAGCATCCCTTGTCCACCAGTGTCACACTGGCAGCCCCATGGCAAGGGCAGTCCAGACTTCCTGTACCTCTCTGCCCACCCCAAGTCATGGAGTGCTGCAGCTCCCATCACATCCCTGTGAGGTGCACAGTGTCTGCTGGAGCAGCTTGCAATCAGGATATTGCTGCATTCCCTCCCTTCCCGAAAGCAGCCACGGAAAAACAGCAGCTTCAACTGGGTATAGGGTGATGGGGGGAGGTAGGGGACAGAACCTGACAAGCTGCCGCTGTCCTAGTAGTGGGCTGACCTACAGGCAGCAAAAAGCTGTGTGTTGCTGGTGTGACAGGGACTCCTCCACCCTATTTGGGTGCTCTGGTCCAGCCTCACCGTGCTGCTCCAGAGCCAACCAGGCTGGCGTGCTGGCAGCATGCAGGAGCAGGGCTGAAGTGAGGCAAGGAAAGGGTTAACTTGCTCTCAGGCCCCAAAGAACCGATATTTATTTCATTGTCAGAGGGAATATAATTAAGAAAACATAGAAATCATCAACTACAGCAGGCTCAAAGGCACAGGGGTGCTCGCAGCACAGGACAGTATCAGACCCCCGGGGAAGATGATCCTTGGGGCAGCCACGCTGGGGCAGAGGGACCACACTGGAAAGGGCACAGAGGACCCAGGGTGATGTTGAGCACCCCCAAAGCAAGCCCCAACAGTAGCCCGCCCATGGATGGGTGAAGCCCTGTTGTGCCACTGGGTGAGGGTGGCAAAGCCCCGGGCACAGCGCCCCAGCCCCGCTCTGTGTGACAGGGAGGAGTCAAGCTGGGAAACTAGGAATCACTACAGAGAGTTTGGCTTTTTAACAACTACGACCAAAAAAAATTAAAGAAAAAAAATTAAAAAAATAAAAAAATAAAACCACCCTCCCCTCCCCCCCCAAATCATCTAAACCCCACTTTTTTCTGGGTCTCACAGGAGCAGCTCAGCTGGGCACAAATGGCTCCACTCAGCACACATGGCTTCAGCAGGGTGCAGTGGGGCAGCTGCCCTCCAGGAGAGGTCAGATGCTGCTGGAAGCAGTAAATTCGCCTAACTGGGAAGAGCTGGGAGCAATCGCAGGGAGCGGGTGACACCCCTGTGCCAGGCTTCCAGCCCTTCCCCTGCCCTGCACTCCCCAGCAAGTGCCCCGGAGCGGGGCCGTGCCTGAGCCTGCTCGGGGAAAAGCTGCCCCATAGAGCCTGCGCAGCCCTGGCTCAGTGGCTGCTGTTGCTCATGGAGAGCCCAGGCTGCAGCGCGGGGGGGAACATCTCAGATTTGTGGAAGGGTGGCATGTAGACAGGAGGGGAGGGTGCCAGGCTGTAGCCCTGGGATGTCACCGGGATGGGCAGGCCGGGGGGCACAAGGGGCTGGTTCATGTCATACATCACCCCCTCCGCCTCGTTGCCGAAGGGCAACAGCAGCCGTTTGCCCTTCTGACGCCGGTTGCAGAACCAGACCCGGACCACCTGCAAGAGAGAGGAGACAGGACAGGGTGAGGGGGGAAGAGGGTGACAAGGACACCCTTTTGCAGGTGGCATCTCCACAGCAGAGCCCCAGTCCTGCCACAGCTCCTCTTGGGGCAGAGCTGAGGATGGCCGCTCTCCCACAGCTTCCAGTATTGAACCAGTTGGATGCAAGTGCTTAGGGACCACGGCCATTTGGATACCCGCACTCCAAACTCCTCCAACCTACATCTTTGTCTAGGTTAAGGTCCTCAGCAATCTGGGAGATCTCCTGGGGACTGGGCTTCACACACTTGCGGAAGAAGCTCTCCAGCGTCCCCTTCACGTTGGTCTCAATGCTGGTCCTGCGCTTTCTCTTCCGGGCTTGGGCCAACACTTGCTCCGCATTGCACATCTGAAAATGAGAGAGGAACCACACACTTGGATCACAAGGCTAGTGATGTCCCCACCAGGATATGGACACATGTGTGGTCTAGGCAGGATGGGGACAGGCTTTGTCCTGATTACTGTCCACTGAGCATCACCCCATTGTGACTGAGGCCATTCCCAGTGTTCCACCACTGCCTGCAGCTGGTATAGAGGAACACAGGGTGCATGTGGTGCACATGTCCATGGTTCACACGGACATGTCTTTCTGCATCCCCCCAAGGGAGCAGCAAGCTGCATCTCCAGCCTATCTGTGATTCCAGCAGGACCTGCCTGCTCCAAGATGGGACCACAAGGTTTCTGGGGGGTGATGTGGGGTTTCCCCAGCCTGGCACCAGGCGATACCCAGTGGTTCCCCCCACAGCTGGGCTGAAGGAGAAGCCCAGCTGTGCCTGGCAGTGAGATGCTGCTGTGGCACGAAGTACCTGCTGCTCCTTTCCTCTCCCCTCCCAAAAAACTCATGTTATTTCAAGAAAGGGAGAAGCTGCAGCTCGAGGGCTCACGAGTGTGCAGTGCCCTGGCTCCAGCCTGCCCCAGCCCCACACCTCTTGCATGTTGTCCGTGTTCTCTGCCTCGTTGAGCCAACGCTGCAGCAGTGGCTTCAGCTTGCACATGTTCTTGAAGCTGAGCTGGAGCGCTTCGAAGCGGCAGATGGTGGTCTGGCTGAACATCTTCCCTGCGCGGGCAGGCAGGACATCACACACTGCTCCAGCCCCACCAGTCCCCTCAGAGCCCCCCCTCCAGCATCCCCTGTCCCTTGGGATGGGGAACAAGGCAAGGCACTCTCCCTGATGCTTCAACACCGAATTAAACCACTGCAACACTCTTCCAAAAGCAGCTGCAGCCATTTAAAATCAGCTCCTTGTTCTCAAACCCTTTTGGGCTTAAGCAAGTACTTAACAGGAGCCCCAGGGCTGATACTTGCCACCTCCTTTGCAGGTTGCTAAGGCATTCAGGTATTTCCCCCCAGCCATCCCCCAGGGCCTCCTTCCTTCCCCCCCCAGTGGGTGCTCACCGTAAAGGGTGCCCAGAGCCAGCCCCACATCAGCCTGGGTGAAACCCAGCATGATGCGCTTGTGCTTGAGGTCCTTGGCAAACTGCTCCAGCTCCTCCGAGGTTGGTGCATCCTGGGCAGGGGCAGAGAGAAGCTGAGAGAGGACAACCCTTGCCCATGGGCTGCCGATGTGCGGTGGTCAGTGTGGGACAGGAGGGCTCAGTGGAGCTTTTGGCACCCACCAGCGGCTGCCAGCTCTGGGCAATGGGGTGCTGGGGATGATGGGGTGGGTGGTAGGAGGGTTTTCCTCAATTTCTGAAAGAGGGACTCTGCTCAGGGATCCCAAAATGTCTCCCCCGCCCTACTGTACGTAGCACCCCCTGCGTACCCTCTGCACACCCCTTCTCCACACACACCCAGGTGGCCCAAGGACAGAGAGAGGGTCGGGAGTACTCAGAGCTCTGCTCCACCGCACCTGGGAATGTCCCCTCAGCCCACGACACGTCCCCACGAGCTCTGCGCTACCGGGGGTGCGCACCCACCGCCCCCCCGACGGGGCAGCCCTGAGCCCGGGACAAGTGAAACGCCACAGGTGAAGCGAGTGATGGAAGGGCCCATGACTCCAGGAGGATCCCAACACTTCCGTGCCACAACCCAGCTCTTTCCTTCAGGAGGGCTGCTTTTCCCTGTGCTTCTCTTCCTCCCTTAGCGCAGCCTTCAACTGCTGCGGGCGCACGCTGGAATCTTTCACCCGATTTCCATATTGGCAGCGCAATTTCGGATCTCCCTCCTGCCACTTAAGCCTCAGGTTTGAATTCCTGCCGGACTTCTCAGCAGGAACCCGGGAGCATCCCCGCCACGGGGCGACCCTCAGCACGGAAAAGCTGCTCCTCGTAGCCTCCATCAAAGCGGGGACTGCTCCCCGGCACGCGACGCCCGCATCGGCAGAGCTCCGACCCCCGCGACAGCCGCGCCCGCGGAGCCCGCCCGGGAGGACGGGCTAAAACTGTGCTACGGCTTAAAAACACTAAAACCAAACCGAAACCCCAACTGCCAGACACGAGAACTACCGCTGCCCCCGACCCAAACCCGGGCTGGCTCTGCCCATCCCGGTACCCACGAAGCCATGGGAGGAGGGGCCAGGGTCGGGACAGCGTGTACCGGGCGATCAGCCAAGAAAAGCCGCCCCGAGTCCCCCAAACCGCCGTTCTCCCCCCAAAACAGCCTCCCCGAAGTGTTCCACCCGCGGAAGACGGAATCGTCGGGCCTACTTGAAGGGGGGTATACCCGACGGAGGGGACGGACGAGCAGGACGGCACCGACGGGGTCCCCGCTAACAGCGACGCCAGATGGCGGCCAAGCGGGTCCCTGCCCCGACGGGGCGTCACGGCAGCGAGGCCGGGCTCTGTCCCTCGCCTCCGCAGCGGCATCGGGGGCAGGAAAATGGGAGCGCGGTACCTGCGAGGGGTGCCGGGGCTGGCCGGGCGGAGGGCAGCCCTTGCCTGTTCCCGTCCCGTCGGGTCTCACCTCGTCGCCGCTGTCGCTGGAGTGTCCGCCCTCGCTGGCGGCACCGCTGGAGCTGCCGCTGCTGCCCAACCCCGACAAGCCACCAGAGCCCGGCTGCAGGGCGGCGGGGCAGAGCTGCGGGCCGGGGAAGGCAGCGGGGCCGGGGAAGGGCGGCCCGGGAAGGGCGGCGGCGGCCCCAGGGGGCGCGGGCCCGGCCCAAGGCGGGGAGGTCCAGGCCGACCCGCAGCAGGCCGCGGTGCGGGGCTCGGGCGAGGGCTGGCTGCAGGGCCGGGCCGGGCGCGCCTCTGCCTTGGCGGGCGGCCCCGCGGGCGGGGGCAGCCAGGCGCGGGCTGGCGGCGGATCGCGGGTGGCTTCGGGCTCGGCGGCGAAAGGGAAGAAGAGCGGCTGAGCGGCCGCCCCGTCGAAGCCGCCGCGGGGGAAGGGCGGGCCGGCTTCGGGCAGGAGGCCGAAGTGGGCGGCCGGCAGCCCCCCGTCCGGGCTGAACATGCTGCCCGCGGGCCTAGGGCTCCATGTGGGGGCTGCCGGCCGCTGCCTCCCTGCTGCGGCGCCACCGGGGCCTCTGAGGGCGGCGGGGCCGTGCTGGGCCGTATGGAAATGGACCCCGGCCCCATTGGCCCCGCACCGGTGGGTCGGGCGTGAACTTGATCCCCCCGGGAGGGGTTGAGGGTGGGGGGCAGGTGCGATGGGAGGTGGGCTGGGTGCTGGGACCCGTCTGTCCCCTTCCCGTCTGGCCGCGGGGCGGGGAGTGCTCCGCTGAGGGGTCTTGTGCCCCTCCGGCTCCGCTCGCCCCGTGTGCGGCGAAGGGCAGAGCTCCCCCAGCCCCGACTCCGGGGTGCTCGGTGGGACTCACATCCCCCAGTGTTGGCGCAGCATCAGCCCCAGCGTCTCCCCACCTGGGAGCTCCCCAGTGTCGCCGGGTCCAGGCACGGGCAGGGAACGGGACTGCTCTGGGCAGCAGCCACGGCCTGGGATGCGGGGGGCGCAGCCTACCCAGAGCCGCAGCAACCCCTCGCCCTGGGGATGCTGGTGCCATCGCGCTGGACGAGGGCTTGGCTGTCCCCTCCTGCCCCTCTGCAACACCTGATCCCAGCGGCGGCCTTACACACCGTGGAGAGTCCTGCAGAATGTTTCATGGGCAAAGCGAGGGCTCCCCGGCTCCCTCTCACTCCCACTGACCTCCTTTTGCGCCCCCCCCCCCCACACACACAGAGGAAGGCAATGACTCTGAGGGACCATGTCCTTCCTGGAGGCCTCTGCAAGCAGAGAGGCCCCGAAACTCTGGGTGTGCCACCGGGGAGCTAATTGCAGCCCTGGCTATCAGCCCCATTGCTCCACAAGGAGCACGCTTGATATTTTCTCTATCTTAAGGGCTTTCCTCACACTGCCCTTCACAATGGCGCTATCGGGGCCAGCTGCAGCCATTTCCCCATTCCCTCCCTCCTCAGGGAGCTTCCCTGATCCCGACGCTGCTGCCCCATCAAGCCTCTGCTGGGACCTGCCAGCCCAGTTCCTGCCCGATGGTCCCGGCTACCCCTGACCACAGCCGGAGCAGAGTGAGCGACCACCCGGCTGCCAGCACAGCTCCCTGTTTATTAACCCGGATTACAGGCAGCCTGCTGCTGTCTGGCACTGGAGATATGCCAGAGAGATAGGCTGGAGGAGCCTCCCCCGCGGCGCTGGGATGGGACAGCTGGGGGACGACGCTTGGTGCTTCTTATGAAGCACTTGCTTTGGCTCCTGGAAGTGCTGGGACCCACAGTGCCAGCAGCCTCCCGCACCACTGCACATGGGGGGAGCAGAACAGCCCCCCTTGTAATGGTCATGGAATCATAGAATGGTTTGTGTTAGAAGAGACCTTGAAGCTCATCCAGTTCCAACACTTCCCATGGGCAGGGACGCCTTCCACTAGAGCAGCTTGCTCCAAGCTCTGTCCAGCCTGGCCTTGAACACTGCCAGGGGTGGGGCAGCCACAGCTCCTGGGGCAGGATGAATTCTGCTTGATGGATCTATAAGGGAGAAAAAGAATAAAAAACTAAGTGGCTGAGCTGGAATCAGTTAAAGCCCCATCCTGAGTCCTGGTGGCATATGTGCCCAGCTGCTCTGCGGAGGGTGTGTGATGCTAAGCAGCCCCAGCAACAAGAGGATGTAAAAAGCCAGTCAGTGGGGATGTGGGCAATCCTGAAACGGTGTGGACAGCCATGAGGGGACATGGACAGCACTGACAGGACACGGGTCACCCTGAGCAAGCCCTAGGACTGCGGGACCCACTGGGGGCTCACCCCTGCCCTGCCCCGGTGAGGCTCCGTCTGTGCGGGTGCTGGGCTCAGCCGTGCCCAGGGCAGAGCAGGGCCCTGGGCTGTGCTGCATCGGGCTTCCCGGGATGCCGCGGGCAGAGGAAGTGTCTCTGCGGGACTCCGATGGCAGCCATCAACCCTGCTCCTCCCGGGCTCCCGCTGCGGTCCCGGGTTTCAGAAGATCCTTGGCTGGGCAGTAACTCCCCTTCCCTTTGATTTATTGTTCCCGGGCTGGACCCCCTCCTCCTGCCAACCTGCTCTTTCTCTCCATCCCCCCAGGAAGCCCCCCCCCCAGCCCGACAGGCCTCAAACGCATTCCTGCTCCCTTTCATATACAGGCAGAGGGGAAGGGAGACGTTGACTTTGAACCGTCCCCTTTGTAGGAGCAGGGCCTATTGTGGCAGTGATGGTTTTAGCTGGGGGATGTGGAGGGAGTCAGTAGGGGTTCTCAGTGTATGCCCCCCCCCCCTTACATTTCAATGGGGCGATTCTGGGGGGCTGTGAGAGGTCCCCGGTTACTGTGTGGGGTCACTGTGCACCAGTGGCTGGGTTTGGCCAAATATTTGGAGCAGAGACTCCAACCTGCTTCAGGAGGATGGATCTCAGGCCCAGCTCTGTGGTCTAATGCAGCCAGGAATCAGTGAGATCCTGCTAGAAAGAAAGGAGGAGAAAAATGTCCAGCTTCCCCAGCTCAGTGATGTGGCAGCAGGCTGGGGAAGACAGAGCTGCACATCTGTGTGTCCTGTTGCTGTGCACTGTTTTGAGGCTGGTTTGGAGTGGAGATCAGATTTTAAGAGAGTGTATGACTGCAGATGGTGCTTCATTCACTGTCCACCCACTCTCTCTCTGTGGTAGATGATGGAGAAGCAGTTGGGGCTGTGCTGGGTGCTCTTGAGCTTCATGCCCGAAGCAATCTCACCTTGATCCTCTGGTCAGAGTCAGCCCCAGTCTTCACCCTGGGTCCATCAAAGGTCTGGGCAGTGTGTTCAGCTTCAGAAGCCACATCTCTTGAAGGAACAAGCTCTTGCATGGCACCATAGTTTACTTGGCTGCAGCTGGTCTGGGTGGACAGGATGGAAAGCTCATAAGAGGATATTTTGGTCCAGTTCTGTTCCCTCATAGAGTCACAGAATGGTTTTGATTGGAAGGGACCTTAAAGTTCATCCAATTCTAACCCCTGCCACGGGCAGGGACACCTTCCCCTAGAGCAGCTTGCTCCAAGGCCCTGTGTCCAACCTGCCCTTGAACGCTGACAGGGATGGGGCAGCCACAGCTTCTCTGGGCACCCTGTGCCAGCGCCTCACAAGGGAAGAATTAAACGGCCTCTGTGTTACAGAGCCCGGGTGTAGTTTGGGCATTGCCTGCATCACTGCAGTGCCTGAACACCCCGGCTGCTCCTCCTGCTGATGGACAGCTGGGGAAACTGAGGCATGGACATGCTGGGGCTGAACACAGACCCTGCACCCAGCCCCGGGCTGTCCTGGGCTGTCTGCAGCACAGACCTGGAGTCTCAGGACCAATGTTTCTTCCATGCCAGGATGCAATGAGGTGAGGACACAACTCCCCAAGGGACAAAGGGCTCCTACTACTGCGGTGCCCTGAGCCGGAGGCTGTTCCTGGGAGGAACCATGTTTGACTCAGGGCTTCCCAAAAAGCCTGGGCATGCTGTGAGAGGCTGCGGGGCGCTGAGAGCAAAGGATGAATTTGGAGAGGAGTGTGCAAGGCTGGGTCTCCACATGGGTGCAAGGCTGGGTGTCCCCATGTGTGAGCCTTGGGGCAGTCCCAGGTGATTTGAGTTGCTATGCTGCCATGGTCCTGATGATAATGGTGATGATGATGGGTGGTTTTGAGCTGAGCATCCCCAAGGGTGCCCAGGTGCTTTGCCGGTGAGTCAGCACCCACCAGCCACCCTGGGGCTGCTGAAACCAGGAGGAGACGAGATTGTATCAGCCTGATGGGGGGCTGGTGTGATCAAAGGACCAGGAGAGTACAATGCGGGGCCACGATAGCCCTTATCTGCTGGCCCCACAGAGGTGCGAAGGGCCATTGGGGTGAGGGGTGATGGGGTGGGTGGGTGCTGGGTGCTGCAGGGCTGGGTGTGGGCTGTGCAGGCACAGCTGGGGGCTCCCACGCAGCCCTTTGCTGGGGAAACCTCTCCTGGCAAACACTGGAGCAAGAAAATCGACTCTGGTTCTTGTCTGGTCTGGGAAAAATCCCTTGGGAAGGGCTTGGGGGCAGAGGCCGGATGGCTGTGTTCACTTTTCCCCAGGGAAGGTTTTGGGATGGGAGACCTACAGCATCCTCCCTGTCTACCCCATCCCTCCCCACTCCTCAGAGCAGCATGACCAGGGGGCTGCCCCCACACCACACACTCGCATGGGTCTCAAACATGGTTGTTTAATAAAATCTCCTGTTAAAAGAACTACATACAACAACAAGGGTGTGGGGAAGCAGCAGCCTATGGGCCGGGAGCAGCGCACAGGTGAAGGTGCTGTGTGGCGATGGGCTCTGCCCGCGGCCCCGGTCCCACAGCACTATGGGTCACCAGCACAGCCCGGCCACCGTGCCCCCCCCACCCGTGCTGCCCGTATGTGCAATGGCTCCTGAGCGTGCGAGGGGACACCCCCTGCATGCAACGGGTGACCTGCGGCTGGGACAGTCCACACCGGGGGCTGGACACGGAGCCACTTCTGTGCAAAGCAACTCAAAGCCATCCTTACACCGGCCATGGCCAACGTACCTGGGAGGCTTTGGGGAACAGCACTGGGCTCTGAGCAAGGAGCTCTGGTGAGCCCAGACACACACGTGGACAGTGGAGGGGTGCAGGGGTCTCTGGAGCCCAGGGGGAGTGCCTGGGATAGAACAGCAGACACCACCCCCTGCCATGGAGGGATGCCCAGAGAGCACAGAGCCAGGCTCCGCAGGGCAGAGACCAGCACAGCAAACCCATGTGCCTCAGATACCCCTCGCAGCCAGCAGAGCCCCCGCCAGCCTCGCTCCTTCCTCCCCCATGGCTACACAGGCTTAAAACCAAACCCCTCAACCCCTTCTCTGAGCTTCACACTGAGCATCACAGAGAGCTGAGCTTTTCTCTGAGCACCCGAGTGAGAGCCCAGCTGGCACCCAGGGCTGTTGTGAGGGAATCCTCTGCCAGCACAGCCCGGCACTGTTCCCAGGCCACAGGCACTGGGACTGCCTGCACCGCGGAACCCCAAGCACCAGCACCCCTAG